GCCATCAGCATCTACAATAACTCTTTAGTTAAATGACTTACAACAATCCTAACTTCCCTCTGGGATCAATAAAGTATTTTTGAATTGAATTGAATTTGAATACCTGAATCAGATACACCAGAAATGGAAAAAAGAAGAAGAAAAAATTCAAACATGAATCCAGCAGAAGTCGCCTTGGTTTCATTCAGGTGCCTGCTCTCCAGAGGGAAGGAAACCTGTGCTTGAACAAATTGAGCTGAAGTGTAGTGAGTGTACGACTGGCTGTTTTGCAGCGTAGTCCCCTCTGAGACGTAGTGATCGACCCACTGAGTGACCTTCAGACACATGGCCACGGGCAGCTGGCTGAGGAGGAGGGAGCTCAGCACATGCTGCACATACATCGACACGACAATCAGATCAATTCACCTCATCGAGTGGTTCAAAAAAGAAGCTGCTGACCACATAAATCAGAGTTCCACTTAACACTGACACTACTCATTTGTTTTATTAGAGTTTAAACCATGAATGTTGATTCTAGTTTTCTTTACTGTAGTCTCTTCTATTTTTTTTTCTTTTTTGCAATGAAACTTCTTCCACAAACTTTGTTCTATGTTTAACCTGATCAGAAATTGTGTGGTAGGATTTTTATCATTTGTAACTTTAATGCTTATTTAATTTTATTTACCAAAATTCACAAAAAATACCATGAAATCACTTCAGTATCTTCAAAAATGTTCTTGTCTATTTCAGTAAACAGTATTCACTCTGTTTTGTCCTATAATGATGGCTTTTAGCTACTGTCTCACTTTTAAAGCTTTTAACTGTGGCTTTGCCAATTTTAGATGTAGGCTCCTGCTTTGCTATTTTCCTCATTTTAGAGGAGTTTGTACTTTTCCCGAATCTGTTATTCAGCAATAGATGCAAACTCAGCAATTACTTCCCAAAATTTTCATTGATATCTGTGCAGTTCTGTATTTATTATGTTGGTAATAGACAAGCAGGATGAATGACAACAGTTTAAGTTAAGGTTTGGAACAAAAATCAACAGCAATAAGTAGCACTTGGAGTAATATTAGTAATATATATGTGTACATGTGTATATAAATATATGTAAAACTGACTGAATTGCAGCCATTTTTGTGTTTTCCAAGGACAGCTGGTTGTGGGGACCACTGTGACTTGGGGATAACTCCACCAGTTAATTAGTTTATATATGCATCCAATTATTATTTGTTGACATTTTTATTAAAAAATCAATTAAGTGACTCATGAGACAAAAAGAGCTAACCCTAAACAGTGATTATGGAAATACTAAAAAGCTTTCAGTGTTTCCTAGTGCTCAGAACATGTGTTGAGGGTCAGTGGTCAGTAGTGACCATTTATATGTTTTTGAAGGTTTTGGCTGAGGCAGCCATCTTGAATTGGGAACACTCCAAAAAGGTTCATCAGTTGTACTTTCTAAAACTTTCATTAGAATTCGTTCAGTGGTGGGTGTTTTTTTTTTTTTTTTGACAAAAAACAAGCACAGAGACACGAGCAAAAACACTGTTGACTTTGGTGGAGAAAAACAGAGCATCATGTTGTTTTAAATGGTAATGAACAGAGAACTGATTTCCACCTGGTGAACAGCTCGCAGGTAAGGAGCAGGCAGGTTTGTCTGGAAAGAAACAAAAGCTTTGAGCTCAAAAGGAAAACACAAAAAAATTAAGGTGTTTTTTGCTTGAAAGCAGGTTTTTGTAGCTACTTCTCAAAAAAGTGCTTCAAAAAATTCTTTAGGATTATATTTCAGACAGTTCATTCAAATGATACATTGATAAGGCGTTCCTTAGTTATATTTTGACAAAAGGCAATTATTGCAAACGTTTTAATCAAAACACAAGATCTGCCCATTTCTCCACCACTTTGAGGCTTGGTTCAATGTGATGGCTCAGCAAAAGTTCCTCTGAACAGCTTTTAGCTGCTTCAACACAGAGTCAGCAGCTCTGACTGAAGCTATATTCATCCTCTGGCAACATTTATCATAAAAGGCTGTGAGCTCATTATTAATACATCTGATTCCACACATACAGGTACAAAGCTTTTACTAACTCTGTTAGCTTCTTTATTTCCTGTTTCATTCTGACATTCAGATAGGCTGAAGGCTGAGGTGAACTGACTCTACTTTTGTTTAGTAAACACACTGCTGCTGACCCCCTACTGACGTCACTGACCTTTAAATACACCAAGATCATAAAAACAAGTGCTTCACCTGTGGTGGAGGAGCATTACTTGAACCGGAACCTTCCATCGGTGGACTGCAGGCAGATGTGGAGCAGTGTTGCCAGATGGGAAATGTTGAATTATCGTATCAGCAGCTGAAAATTATCGTATTTTGAGGAAAATAATCGTACACACCCAAGTTACATTCTAGAGAGGCTCAAATTTACATCCTGTTCAGCTCACAATGTGCTCTGTATTCAACAAACTGCACATTCRTTTGTTTATAATAAAGTTAAAATGCACTGTATCTGACTGTTGAGTGTCCTTTTTTTAACAAAAGCTTTATTGTAAACAAGAACAAAACAGGGAGCCTTGTGAAACGATGCATATAAAAGGAAATATTAGATAAAATGACTATAATAAAATGTAAATTAAAATAGGCAAAGTTAAAATGAAATCAGGACAATAACAAATCATTGTAGTTTAGTCAAGAAATAAATTGAGTGCATACTGAACAAATTTAATCTGCAAGCCTCAAAAAAAAATCTTTTTTTTCTTTAAAAACAGCTTCTGGATGACACCTGGATGTTTATTAAATGTAAATGTTGCTTATACTCACTAGATTTTCACTAGTCACTTTTCTGAATAACAGTCTCTAGAGGGTCTGAAAGCTCTGTAAATATAGCGAGAAAGTCGCTAAATCAGCACCACTGTGTTCTGCAACCCGCCAACTCTCATGTCAGCGAGCAGCGTGTCGGGTCGATTACGTCACACATTGGAGCGGTCAAATTATCGTACATTATGGGATTTTTGGGATTATTGATCGTACAGAGGGCAAAATTATCGTACAAATAGGATAATTATCGTACAAATACGATAATTATCGTACACCTGGCAACACTGC